CCGACAAATAAAGAACTATACTTTCTTAAATATAACAAGATTTATCATGGCTGCACATGCTTTATTCTTTTTCCATGAGTATGTATAGCCCTTACCAAGGAATCAAACAATTAAATAAATAATTAAATAAATAAATAAATAAATAATTAAATAAATAAACCTTTGATGATTGCTCTAAGAAGAAAGCAAGGCATCAAACAAAGAAAATGACTAAGATTGTGGAGGCGTACATTCTACCATCTGAAAAAACACTATTTGGTTCATTTTCTACTTCAACCTTGAGTTTGGAACTGTTTATACAGCATCATTATTGCAAATTGGTCTTTCCCAAAGTCAGGTCCTGGCAGTGTGCTAGATTTTGGATTAGGAAATAGACCTCCCTCTCACCTGAAGCTAAACACAAACTTGAGGGCAGAGTTGGTCCAGTCTTTACTTTATTGTCAAGGAATGCTGTCCTCCCCAAAACTGACTCCTCCTCAATCCTCATTATATCATGAGACTGGATTTCTGTTACTTCATATTCAAAGGATCAACTAGACTGTAACAATAATAATAATAATAATAATAATAATAATAATAATAATAATAATAATAACAACAATAATAACTTAGAGTTTGGTGTTACAGGCTCTTGTGACTTTGGTCAAATTATGGCTGCCTGCTTATTGTGTTTCTTAATTACCCCGTGTGCAAGGATTTGACAGGGCTACCATTCACTGGCAGTAAGGGATTTCAATGCAGTTCAGCAAGATTGCTAGATGAGTACGCAACCACTGCACCACACGGCACACCTTTCAATGCATACTTTGCAACATTCAAACATGCTTGAAAGTCTTTCTGGGATGACCTAGGTTGGCTTCTTGGTATCATACTGAGCAGAAAGCCTTGCTGCCCATTTTCTGACCCTCAACTTCACAATCTCCTCTCCTTCACATCCATTTTCTTTGTTAGATACCATATTTTTAAAGTGCAGTAATCTGGTTTGAGCCTTCTACTGCTAACTATATATTATGCATATAGGGAATAAGACAGAGGGGATTCTAGGACTATTCCATGAGGTAAATTTTAATGCCATAAAAGCAACCTAAACACTAGCCTTTCACTCACACACACACACACACACACACACACACACACACACACACACACACACACACACACACACACACACACAACACACACACACACACACACACAGTCACACATGTAAAAAAAATTAACATAGTCCCTTTAACTGCAAAGCTTGGTGACTGTTTTAACCCCTAAGAGGTGAGAATATATTAATGTAATCAAGCAGTTCCGGTCAATGCTCCTGTATCGTCTTCTAGTCAGAGTATTTATAATCTTCAATCACCAAAATAAGCATTACAGTCTAAATTACACACATAAATTCATGTAAACAGAGATAAACACAGATTGTAACCCATAAAATAATAGTAAATAGGATTCCATCCCTATTTATGGCAATGACATTATAACACTGATTATAATATCTGATGAGAATGGTGATGATAAAGTGATGGCAATAACTGATGTCAATCATCACTATATAAATAAACAAAAACATTGCTGATATTATTAATAGTAATGATGTTCAAGCACACACACTACAAAAATATATGGCCATCTACACACATTTCTAAATCATTCAATTTAAAGAAAGAATGAGAGAAATTCCAGATCTATTACTGAATTCAGTAATAAAAAGAAAGAAAGAAAGAAAGAAAGAAAGAAAGAAAAAAAAGAAAGAAAAAAAAAAAAGAAACGATGAAAACTTTACATTATTTTCAAATAAACTAATATGCATAAAGAATATGTAAATCACACATGAGTACGTATATGTAAGGCATCACAGACCTTAAAGATGACTTACCTCTGTGATTTCAGGAAAGAGTTCCGTAAAAATCTTGTCCTTCAAATTAAAGCTTAAACTTTGCTGGGCCAATTGTCTTTTCTCGTAGTCGCTTGTCTCTATGCTGCCGAATGTTGGGGCTTTCTCCAGCTGGAATGAAGAGATAGTTCTCTGATTTGGTTTGAATACAATGCTAGCAACTACCTTAAAAAAACAAAGATTCACATCAGAGTACTACATTTTATATTCATAAAAAGTAAATAAAATCTAGCAAGAGTTATTAAACTCATAGTGACAAAAAGCTAGATATTTTTTCTGTTTCTATTAAAGAACAAGTGCTGAAGGGGAGGAGGAAATGCGGATAATGATATGAAAAGGGAAATCATAAATCAATGAGAAGAATGTGAACAGAAAACAGGAAAAAACATTTACTACAAATAACAAAGTGACGACAATTATTATTATTAGAAGAAGAAAAAATAGGATTTTACTCTTACCCCCCCCCACATATATATATATATATATATATATATATATATATATATATATATATATATATATATATATATATATATATATATATATATATATATATATATATATATATATATATACTCTGGAGTCTTCAACACCTACATACCAAATTCCACTTCTAAACTTGTAAGAAACCATAACTATACAAGCACAGCCACCTCTTATGAGAAAGCCCATCAACAGCTGATGCCCCAATACCCAAAACCTCTATACCCACCATAAATGACAAGAGTCCAGTCAGTATGGTGGCCACAGACCAGGCTGGATTCCAGGTGTCGGGATGAAAGTCTGAGATGGAGAGGCACAGTCGCGTGTTGGTCTTGAAGCGACCCGAGGGTGTGATCATGTATATGCTGGGCGGTCGGAACGGGTACTCCAGCGGGAACACCAACTTGCCATGGTAATAACCGCCTTCATAGGGGCTCTGCTCTGGCCCTTCCACAACATAATGCCTGCAAATGCAAGTGTGGGGTTGGTTACGTCTGCTTGGCATTTTGTGCTATATTATTTTTCGTTGTATGGGCATGATATTTGGTGACCTGTTTATTAGTATGGGAAAGTGTGGATTGGAACTGATACAGGCTTCATTAGCATGACCGGCAATCTTGTAAGTAGCATCTGTTTATTGGTGATAATTATCACACTAAGTCCAAAATATGTATTAACACTGGCAAGGTGATTTACTAAGCTAAGTACCGTCACACACACACACGCATACACACACATACATACACAACACACACACACACACACACACACACACACACACACACACACACACACACACACACACACACACACACACACACACACACACAATCACACATAATAGCTAGATAAAAAATGAATACATAAATAGATAAACATTATTCACTTACTCAACCAAAATAACAAGCAAATGGTTTCTGTGAATTACCAACAGAAAGCAACGTCTTCCCACTTACCACTCAAGAATGTTTGAAGGCAGAGGGTCAGCTGTCACGTATGGCACTGGGTCACGTTTTAATCTCATGTAGTCGGCCCTCAGACGCGCTGATGCTGTGCCTGAGTGTTTTGACATGGCTTCCTTATTTTTATTTCGGTGCTGGGTCTGCAAAATTCATTATTTCTGTCATGAATCCACTACATCAAAGAATGCTAGATGATATAAAAAAAAAATTCTCGAAGTAGTTATAGAAATGAAAAATCTGCTGCTTAGCCCGAAAATCATCTTGTGGAAATGGATCTGTTTCTCTATCTGCAGACACGGACAACCGGAACACTTCCTTGAATCGAGATCGAGGTTGTCGAATGCAACCGAGTACTGCTGATGATGAGCTGAATTGGTTAGGTTTGGTTAGGTTGGTTAAGTTATTCAGGTTAGCTTAAGTTGGTTAGGTTGATAGGTTTTGTTAGGCTAGATTAGATTAGGTTGGATAGGTTAGGTTAGGTCAGGTAAGTTTTGTTGGGATCGGGAACTAGATCTGTACTTCCAAGAAAGAAAATCACTGTAGAAACGGATCCATTTCTATAACCCTAAAACCCTTGCCTAGCTTTGCGTTTTTTTTTTTTTTTTTTTTTTGTAAGTGAATTCTAAGCAATGTTACATGCACATGAAAATTGAAAAAAAGATCATTATAAAATAAAACAATAATAACATCTGAGATGTAAATGAAACCGCACATCATTTCAACCGAAGATCAAAATATTTCATATTACAACTTGCACTTTGTACATCTGACACGTCTTTAACAGAAGCCTAGAATTAAGAAAAAAAAAAAAAAAAAAAAAAAAAAAAAAAAAAATACAAAGTCCATTCTTAGCTGGCAAAAGTACCACTGCAGAAGATAAAAGAATACAATACACTTTTTTCCGATCCCGACCAGGAACCGGTCAGGCAAAGTATCCGCAATGAGATGAACAAAACCTCTATGTTTAAAAAGGCGAAAACCTAAGGGTGCGCCAAGAGAGGGAGCAATGACTTTAGACCTGATAATTGGGGAAGGCATGAGATATAACAGAAAAATTGTGGGGTAAATAATAATAATTAAAAAAAATACTCAAAAACTATGATGAACTATACCAATACACTGAACCTAGTCACTTATATGCCGTTCCTAAGGGAAACCACAGCCTTTAACCCTTCCTTTGTGGAGATTATAATTCTAGTCATACGGCCAGTTAGTTAAAATTGTGCCAGGCCCAACCCAATGAATTTTCATAAATACTGATGCAAAAATAAGGTATCTGATAGATATATACTTAACTATCTATTTGCCCGGTTGTTATGCATGTCTAGCCTGATAAACATGTATTTATTTCTTTATTTATGCATATCAAGTACACAAATATTCTTTGGGTCGGGCTTCGCACAATTCTAACAAACCGGCAGATAATATTGATATAATATTTAGTGAAACTCTGTTTATAATTTTGCTTACATTATCAAAGCGTCTGTAAACTGGAAGGGCGCAATATATCACACTCAGGAGTTGCTGTCTCCACCCTGTCTACACTGCTTTATATATACTTTTCTGCAGACAATATTATAAGTGTCAATAGCAAAATACTCAGTATTAACTATATGGACCTTCACTGAATAATAACCAAGCCCTATGATGAAATAAGAGAATGATTTCAAGAACAAATGTACTGAAGAACACAGTTGCATCACATTGCAAGAACTTTTCTGGTCTTTTCTGTTCTTATAAGAACTTCTCTTTCTATTCACAATAAGCTCAACTTCTTGACAAATTAATGCACATGAACGTAATAAACAGCACGGTAATTGTATCAGAAACAATAAAAACGCTTAAAATAAAGTTAATAACAATACTAACACAAGAGTAATAACAAACATGCAGTCATGGAAAATATCATGACGAGTTTTAGGAAAATTTGAGAAAATACTAAAATTGCAAAGGGTTTCAGCTTCAACAACCCTCTTCAAACCACTATTCAGGAATCCTCCTCTAACTCCATCCTTAAATTTCGACACCAACACGTACCTAAATGCTAGAAAAGTGTCATATCGTGTGTCAGAAGGCTCTTTATCATGAGGTTTGTGTCAATCAGCTGATGGCCAACACACGGGAGTCAGCTGTTACAGTGACACTTGGCAGAGAAAAATCTAGTTTTGCAATGGTAGGCGGACTCAATTTAGTGAGTATCAGGCTAATTAGTATTCTATGTTTAAATCCGATTCTTTGTTTAATAATTATGGCTTTAATGTGGGTGTATGCAAATGGGAGTCAATATTGCGCAAAGGGCTGCTCTTTTTTCTCTTTGTTTACAGTCACAACATAGGTTCGGCGGTAGGTTTGAAATCGTTGTTATTATTATTGTTATTATCATTATCATAATAATTAATATCATGGTTATCATTATTGTTATTCTCTACATTATCAGTGTCATAACTGTCATTCTTATTTTGATGCTTATTATTATCCCTATTCTTATTATCATCCTTATTATTACTAATATTCTTATTCTTATATGTATTACTATTATTATTGCCGTTATCATCATTATCATCATCATTATTGTTAGCAAAATCATCATTATTATTATCATTTATATTATCGTTATCATTATTATTGTTGTTATTATTGTTCATATTATTATTACCGTTCTCATTCTCATTATTATCATCATTATCATTTTTATCATTATCATTATCATTAGTAGTAGTATTATAAGTAGTAGTAGGAGTAATATTATTATTATTATTATTATTATTATTATTATTATTATTATTATTATTATTATTATTATTATTATTATTATTATTATTATTATTATTATTATTATTATTATTATATAATAATAATAATAATAATAATTATTATTATTATTATTATTATTATTATCATTGTTGTTTTATATTATTATTATGATTATGATTATGATTATGATTATCATTCCCATTATTATTGTTATTATCATTACTATTATTGTTATCATTATCATTGTCATTATTGTTATTATTATCATCATTATCATTATCATTTATATCATGATTATTGTTACTATTATTATCATTATCATTATTATTATTATCATCCTTGTTATCATTATCAATAATATATTATTACTATTATCTTTATTATCATCATCATTACCATTATTAGCATTACTGATATTATCATCAGTATCATTATTGTCAATAGTATAATTATCATTATCATGATAATAGTAATAATGATGATAATGTTATTGATTATCCTTATCCTTATCATTATCGTTATTATTACGATTATCATCACTGTCAGTATTTTCATTATTACCATTATCATTATTATTATTATTATTATTATTATTATTATTATTATTATTATTATATTATTATTATTATTATATTATTATTATTATTATTATTATTATTATTATTATTTATTATCATTATCATATCATCATATTATTATTATTATATTATTATATTATATATATTATCATCATTATTATGATTATTATTATTTTGATTATTATCATTATTATTATTATTGTTATTATTATTAATATTATTATTATTATTATTGTTATTATCATTATCATTATTATTTTATTATTATTTATTATTATCATTGTTGTTGTTGTTGTTGTTGTCATTATTATTATTATTATCATTATCATTATTATTATTATTATCATTATTCTCATTATTACTGTTATTATTATCATTACCATTATCATCTTTATTATCATCACTATTAGTATTTCAGTTATTTCTATTATCATAAATCTTATTGTTATTAATATCATTGTTGTTATCACTATTATTATTTTTCATTATTATTACTTGTATTATTATTGTCACTATCCTTATGATCATTATCTATTACCATTATTAACATTATCATTATCATTGTTATTACTGATATCATAAGCATCATTATTATTATCATTATTGTTATTAGTATTATCATTATCATCATTATTATCATTATTATTAGAGTACTTTATTTATTATCATTATTGTCATTATCGTTACGTCTATCATTATCCCTGTCATTACTATTATTATTAATACTATTATCATTGTAATTGGTGTTTTCACTTTCATTAACATCACTGTTATTACTATTATCTTTACTATCATTATTTTATTCTTATGATAAAGGTTATGATAGTAATAATAATGATTAGAGCATTTTTTATATGTTATTGTTTTCATCATTATTGTTATTATCATTATTATCCTCATTATTGTTATTATCATAATTATTATTGTTATTATTGTGTTATGATATCATATCACTATTATCATTATCATTATTGCTACCTTTATTGTTATCATATCATAATTCTTTATTATCATTCTCGTTATTATCATTATCATTGTTATTATTACTATCATCGCTAGCAGTATCACTATTACATTGTTATTGTTGATTCCTGCTGCCCTTATCATTATGGTAATAATGACAATAGTACCGGTAATTATATAAAAATATGATAATATGTGTGTGTGTGTGTGTGTGTGTGTGTGTGTGTGTGGTGTGTGTGTGTGTGTGTGTGTGTGCGTGTGCGTGTGCGTGTGTGTGTGTGTGTGTGTGTGTGTGTGTGTGTGTGTGTGTGTGTGTGTGTGTGTGTGTGTGTGTGTGTGTGTGTGTGTGTGTGTGTGTGTGTGTGTGTGTGTGTGTGTGTGTATTATTATATGTGTGCGTATGTGTGTGTGTGTGTGTTGCGTGCGTGTGTATGGATTTATGCATTATTGTGCATGTGCATATATGCTTGTGCGTGCGTGTCTGTCTGCCCCGTTCGCGTACCGCCGTCGCCATCCCCCGCGAACGCCGATCCGGATTCACACGTGTTTACAACGAGCGTATGAAACTTGCCTGAGTCTCGTCCCTTCCAATCTTATAACAGGTGAGTTATTGATTTAATTTGGTTGTAAGTCGTTTCGTAGAATTAGTGAAGAAGTTGACATTTTATCTGATGTCTGTTTGGTTGGATTATTGTGTGCGGTGGTAATTGTGTCTGAAAAATAATGAACGTATTTTGAGTTTTGATTTTCCAGATTTTTCTCATAGAATATGTTTATTATTATCTATATTTTTTAAAGTATGAAGCACAGGGTAAAGGATTATATTTTTGATTTTAAAACTCGGGCTAGAGGAAGTTCAAGACGTAAATAATCATATAAAACACAAGTAATATTATCCACAATTTTAGGCAAGATGTTTGTAATTAACTTGGTTTTATTTACCATAAATTGCCTTATAATGCTAAGCAGTATCTACATTGCTCATGTTATTACTTAGATATTGTTTTAGTATGTTGCCATATGTCTGTGTACGTTATTTTGTGTTTCTTTTGCAATTTCGTTTGACGCCTGACGTCCTTTTCTCGTAATTTTATTGGATATGTACGTACACTCACTCACTCACTCTCTCCACTCATTCCACTCATTCCACTTCACTCACTCACTCAGCTGCATATTTCATGTTTTCTCAGTCTCTTGGGTCCACTATGGTTATAATAGTTATCATCCCGCAAAGGACCCATGCGTTTATTATACAAGACATTCTAATGAAGCAGCCTGACTAACCACTCAGCCCCTGGACACCCTTCCCGTGGGGGCATTTATGCGGGGGTGCGGTTCACTCAGGATTAACCCCCTTGAAACACAAGACTTTATCTTTGTTGATGTGGAGGAAAGAGCAGAGTTCCGGCACAGGATAGGCAAAACACTAATCTGGATGTCCTTGAAATCTGGCTGCAAATGCTAACAGGCTCTTGTTACAATCTGTGCATGATATAGATATATTTTTTTTGCAAGGTTTGAGGTCTATTTCTATTTTACTTACATGTTATAGATGTGCCAAGCACTACATCTCAGGGAAAAGAGTCATGCCATGTAGATACAACTATGTCAGATAGCAAACAGCGCAATTGTGTGCTCAAAATTCTATTGAAAAAGATAATGTTCGTATAAGAGTTCTTCAGACAAATAGCTTTAAATATGAATAATTTATTTTTATTGTATATTCATAGATGGCATGTTGAGGTATTTACTTGTACATACGAATGCAGGTGCTGTTGTTGTTGGTGTTTCTTGACTCAGGAAAAGATGAAGATCACATTATGTAGCTTTAATATTTCTGTTACTCTCGGAGCTTGGGTGAATGATGTGTTTTACCAGTGGTGTACAAAGGTCTGGTGATGCCTGGAGCGACCTTGATTGTATGCCCCAAAGAATCAAGTATAAGGCCTAGTATTGAGAAATATGAAAGAGAGAGAGAGTTTGAATATGTATACACAGATGCGATATGAAATAAACACATTCTTCAATTTAAATAAGTTTCAAAGTCACTATCTGATTGGATGTCCCCCCCACCATTTGGATGGCCGGGGCAGTGGCATTAAAAATATCTGGGTCATTGCCGCCATATGAATCTAGATCTAGATAAAAAAGAATTGTACAGATTTAAGGCTATAGGGATAAGGCAGTAGACAAAGAATAATTTTTATTACTTTGCTTGTCCATAAAAGCATACTAGCCATTTTAGCAGTTTTGAAGTTTGCAGAACTGCCAACATCACAGAGAGAAGGCAGGGCAGATTCTATACTATATAAAGTTGTGCTCAACGTAGAGCACCACTTAAGTGACTGACTGACACCAGCAAGAATTTC